CTGGCCACGATGGAGTAGGACACGCGGCCGTTGGGTCCCAGGTCGGGATCTGAGGCGCTGACTTGGAAAATAGAAGCTCCGGGCGGGTTGTTTTCTGCGACGTGGACCACGTAAGAGCCCTGGTGGAAAACAGGAGCATTGTCATTGACATCAGCAATGTTCAAGATGACACTTCTGTTGGAGGAGAGGGCTGGCCTTCCCCTGTCGGTGACTGTGATGGTAATGTTGTATTCCGGAGTCTGCTCTCGATCTAGGGCTCCATCTGTGACCAACTTGTATGTGTTTTTTGTATCTTGAACTATTTTAAATGGGAACTTTCCTTTTAGTTGGCAGAAAACTTCCCCATTAAATCCAGAATCGAGGTCATAGGTTTTGATCAGGGCAACAACAGTCCCCAACTCAGCATCTTCTAGAATATGTTTAGATTCAGAATCCAGGGTTATCTCTGGTGTATTGTCGTTTTCATCCAAAATATCTATTTGTACTTTACAGTGTGCTGTGTGATGTCCGCCATCCTTTGCTTCCACCCCAATTGTGTAGCTCGCTCTCTCTTCAAAGTCCAGTCCTCCGCCAGTGGTGAGTTCCCCTGTTGTACTGTCCAGTTTGAACAGCTGTCTCACTGCCCTACCAATGTTGATGAAAGTGTAGGTGATCACAGCATTGACCCCTTCATCCAAGTCAGTGGCCATCACTCTTAGTACAGAGGAGCCCACAGGCAGGTTCTCTGGAACACTGACCCTGTAAATGTCCTGGGTGAACACTGGTGCATTATCATTTGCATCTGCCACAACCACCATGATCTGGGTAGTGCAGCTTCTGGCTGGGTCACCCCCATCCACAGCCGTGAGGACCAGGTGGTGGCGTGACTGCTCTTCCCTGTCCAGGGGAGTCTTCACTACCAGTTCTGGGTACCTACTGCCATCTGGGTTCTCCTTCTGGATCAAAGAGAAGTGTGGGTTGGGACTGAGGTAGTACTGCTGCAGGGAATTGACACCTACGTCTGAATCTTGCGCGGGTTCCAGGGCAAAGGAGGCTCCGGTTACAGCCAGTTCACTGATTTCCAATTCAGTGATATTTTGGCTAAAGGTTGGTGGATTGTCATTGACATCCTGAATTACCACACTTACATGAAAGAAGTTCAAAGGCTTTTCGGCCACCAATTCGAATTCTAGAACACATGTCGACTTCTCGCCACAAATCTGCTCTCGGTCTATACGGTCACTAACAAGTAAGTCCCCATTCTCAGTACTCACTGTAAACAGTTTCTTCGGTGCACTAACACGCAGGTTTCGAGCAGGCAAATCTCCAACGCCAACCCCCAGATCCTTGGCGAGGTTTCCCACAAGCGAGCCCCTGGCCAGCTCCTCCGGAATAGTATAGAGGATCTGCTCCGAGATCACCGGGCAGAACAAAGACAGCAAAGAGAGAAACAGCATTTGTCTCCGCCCAGCCGGGCCCTTCAATCCCAAGTGATCGCTCATCCCGCTTTCAGCGCCTTTGCCTTTCTGACTCTGAAGAGCTATGGTCGCTAAATTATCCCAAGAATTCTCCGAGCAGGAGCAACTCCTTGATTTGTCTTGGCAGGCGGGTTCTAACAAATATCTTAGCGTCACAGAGCCAGAGGCAGAGTGTCCAATTCTCGCGGTTCCGCGGTGGGCTGGCGATTCCTTTGCGCCAGGAGAAGCTGATACTTCGCTCAGTACTAGCCAACAGCGGCACCCCGCGTGTGGGCTGCAGAACTGCAGTAGTGGTTACTACATCAGCTCCAAGTAAGGAGTGGGTTAGAAGAAAATTCTACTGTGTCCTGATATAGATACTCATTTTTCTCATTTTACAAGGATTTTAACATTTTAAATATTCACTCTATCTTTGGTCTGGCTGTGATTTTATTTGAACCTGAGCTTTATCCATCTAAATCAAGTCATTTTTACTCCTCAAAGAGCAGAGGTAACTTGCTGAAGACATTGGCATCGTAGTGCTTTTCATTTCCATTTTCATAAAATGGCTATAATAACATCTTCCCTGTGTTACTTAGCAAAATTGAAGACCAAATAAAATAATATGTAGAAAATGACAAATGAAAGTAGTGGTGGTGCAGCAGAAAGTGTAATAGGAAAATTCTTGAAATATCAGCTTGATATGTATTGTCACTACTCCACTCTATTTTCTTTTTTTCTAACTTAAAAATGTTACAGATATCATAGCTTTTAGTTGTATCCTGTGTTTCACTTCCTTCTATATTATCATTGTCACCTTACCCCCCAAATAATTGATATGTAAGCAAAGACACTGATTATTCTTATAAAACAGGAGTATGGTAAGAAGCAAGAAGAAACTCCTTGTTAGTTTCCAAGTGTCTACTTTCAAATGACTAGGATTCAAAAACTATTCCTCTGATTTTATTTTTTCCACACTACTTTACCATTGTCTCTAATGGTACTGTTTCTTCTCAACTAGCTTAGCAATGGTGAGTTATTCGAATTTGGGGAGTGAAGTATGAGTCCTTATAATCACATATTCTAAAGAAAGTAATCTATGTCGTCCACTTTTTTTGGTCCCAAGGTTACTATCAGATCATCCCAACCCTTTGTTACTGACATTCTTGCCTTGTAAATAAGCATGTCAATTTTATGTTTCTGATAGGTCTTACAGGTTTAATTCCATTTCCAAACTAGAAATCTTCATAAAGAAACTTTTTTAACCTACACAATACATTGTCATTCTAAAACTTAGCGGATGTGTAGCAATGCTGAACTCATAGTGGAATAGCATTAGACATCTTAAACTGTTCACTGTATTCAGGATTCTAGGCAGAAACTCATGGACATCTCTACTTCATACAAACATAAAAAACAGATTCGAGACTTTGCTCCAAAACATGACTGAACAATATGGTGTGAACACTTAAATTAGTATAGGACAGTTATCTTTTCAGAGCACATGTGAAACTAAAGATTCAAATATTTCAAAGAATATGGAGTATACACAGTATATCCACTCAGAGTGTTGGATCAAGCATTTCATTATATAAAGTCTATTGAAGTTTATAGAGATTTACTCAGGACACATATCCAAAGTCTATAACATCTTCATTAAAATATAATGAAAAGAAAAAAATAATATTTATTATAAAATATAATGAAAAAATGAGTTTTCTTGTAAGAGTGAATGGTATCAGTCTCCATCCTCCATCATACAGATTCTTGTTACTCTTTTGATGTATTTGCTGTTCAGTGAATCTGCACATTTTACACTGTGATCAGAATTGTCCAGATAAAAATTAATTGGATGCCCTTCAAATAAATATTTAAAAAATAAAAATTAAGTCATAGGTTCCCACATGTAACAATAAACCATTTGTTTGGTCAGGTAATGTAGCCTACTATCCCATTCGTAATATTTTATTGCAATTTCCCCTATTTATTCATACTTTGCAGCTGATAAAGTACAGTATTTGAAAAATTTAAAGAGAAGCATCTGAAAATCATCTTCAGTAAATCAGATATCAAAAATGAAAAGGGTAGTTCTTCTTTTTAAAAAAATTTTTGTTTAATGTTTATTCGTTTTTGAGAGAGACCGAGATAGAGTGGATGGGAGAGAGGCAGAGAGAGGGAGACACAGAATCTGAAGCAGGTTTCAGGCTCTGAGCTGTCAGCACAGAGCCAGATGTGCAGCTTGAACCCATGAACTGGGAGATCATGACCTGAGCTGAAGTTGGAAGCTTAACCAACTGAGCCACCCAGGTGCCCCAAAAGGGTAGTTCTTCTTAAGCAACACACACTCATGAATTTTAATACCCAATGAAATACCCACATTTCATTAAGAAGGATTATTAATTTAAGATGAGCATGTGAATTTCAAAATTTTAAACAATTTTTATGTTGAATTGATTTTCCAAGTACAAATCTTAGAGTCCGGGGTGCCTGGGTGGCTCAGTCGGTTAAGTGTCCGACTCTTGATTTTGGCTCAGGTCATGATCTCACAGTCATGAGATCAAGCCCAGCATGTCTGGCTCCATGCTGGGCATGAAGCCTGCTTAATATTCTCTCCTTCTCTCCCTCTACCCTTCCCCTGCTCATGCTCTCTCTCTCTCTCGCTCAAAAAATAATAAATAATTTTAAAAACCACAAATCTTAGAATCTAGTAATAAAGCAGAATTGTACTGACACTTGAATAAATGCAAACATTCAAGTAGATATTGATTCTAAAAAGTGAAGAGGTTATCTGTAACCAGATGATTCCAGGTGTAATGGCATATTAATGGTGTATTTAATGAATGTAGCAAAATATAATTCTTTGGAGATTTTAAACTGCATCAGAAAATAAAGTTCTAAGGCTCTTTCTCACTGATTTTTTCTCTCAACAAATACACATGTCCAGTAATTACATAGATTAACCCAAAGTTTCCAGACTTGAGAATGCCACAGACTATAGATTTGATGTTTTTTATTTTTTTCATGTAGTTTTCTATATTCCTCCACTGATTCATGAAAATACTGTAAATTATTTCCTTATAGAAACAGTATACTAAAACTTCAATGCTGTACACTATTCTTCCAAAACATATTCACCATTGGTGTTTACACAAATATTCAAAAGAGAACATTACATGTAACAATTTGGACTAATCAAACAACTCTTCTATTAACATAATAACAATTCTGGGGCAGCTGGGTGGCTTAGTTGGTTCAGTATTTGACTCTTGACTTGGTCTCTGGTCATGGTCTCAGTTTGTGAGTTAGAGCCCTGCATTGGGCTCTGCACTGAAAGCACGGAGCCTGCTTGGGATTCTCTCTATCCCTCTCCTCTGCACCTCCCCGCCTCTCAAAATAAATAAACATTAAAAAAACATAACAGTTGTATAAGAAAATCTTTGGGTAAAGCGATCATGTTTCATTTATTTTTAAGACTATGGATATCAGCTAGATTGTCTAGAAATTTCATGTATTGAAAAAAAAGACATTAAACCCAAAATATAATTTGAAAACAAATGAAGAGAGCATCATCAAATTAAATCAAGTCAATCTCTAAATAAAACATACAACCATTGATTATTTATATAATTAACCAACTTTGAATATGGCAGACAAATGATTGAGGAAACAAATGAAAAAAATGCTACAAGCAATGATACTAGAGAAAAAAAAAAAACCTCACCTGTACAACTCCTAGCTCTTCGTTTACATTTATCTTCTCAGATATCAGAGGAGGCTCGCTTTTCCCACAGCTCTCCTGACTGATGAGTGTGTCTGCATAGTTGGGCTGGGGGAAGATCATGTGACTGTTCCGGGAGTCTGCTGTGAGGGAGACCTCATGGGAATAAGTCTGCAGGAAAGCTCGCACCCCATCCACACCCACAAAGTGCGAGGTGGGCATGCCAGCCAACCTGCTTCCTGATGCCTGGAGCTGACCTGAAGAGTGCCAGCGTCTCAGCCTGAGTGCCAGTAGCACGATGACAAAGGTGAGGAAGACACAGGAGACTATAGCTACTGCCACCACAAGGTACAGTGTGAGACTGGAGTCGTCAGCATAGGATGAGGGCTTGAGGCTGTCCAGGTCAGCCAGGACATCTGGGATACTGTCAGCTACAGCCACAGTGAGTGTGACAGTAGCTGAAAGAGGGGGCTGGCCATGATCCTGGACCACCACCACTAAGCTCTGCTTGAGCGCGTCTCTGTCCAGCAGGGCCCGTGCAGTGCGCACCTCACCCGTGTGTAGCCCCACCGTGAAAAGTCCTGGCTCGCTGACCTTGAGCAGGTGGTAGGACAGCCAGGCATTCTGGCCAGAGTCTCTGTCCACCGCCACCACCTTGGTCACTAGGTATCCGGGCTCTGCGGATCGGGGAGCCAGCTCCACACCAGTGGAGCCATCGGTGGGAATGCTGGGGTACAGGATTTCAGGGGCATTGTCATTCTGATCCAGCACAAACAGGCTCAGTGACATGTTGCTACTAAGTGGAGGGTCTCCACTGTCACTGGCCATTACCCACAGCTGCAGATCTTTAACTTGCTCGTAGTCAAAAGAGCCCAGAGCATACAGGATGCCTGTATTGGAGTTGATGAAGACATAGGTAGACAGAGACATTCCTTGAAACATATCCTCAGCCAGAGAGTAAGTGATCTTGGCGTTGTTGCCGCTGTCAGGGTCGTGTGCAGTCACAGATAAAATTGAGATGCCTCTGGGATTGTTTTCCAGGATGTAGGTGGAGTATGAGGTGTGAGGGAAGATGGGAGGGTTGTCATTGATGTCTGCCACATTCAGGGAGATGTGGCTTTCTGTAGACAGGGGTGGGTTTCCACTGTCAATGACAGTTATTGTGATGTTATAATCTGAGATCTCTTCTCTGTCCAGGGCTTTCGTTGTCAATAAGTGATAATAATTATCAACTGACTTTTCCAATTTAAAGGGCAAGTTCCTGGGGATAGAACACACAATCTCACCATTCTCTCCAGAATCACCATCATGTACACTAAACAGTGCAATTACAGTTCCAGGAGGACAGTCTTCAGAGACGGAACTAGCAAGGGATGTGAGGATCACTTCTGGGACATTGTCATTCACATCCTGTACTGTCACCAATACCTTAGCACTGGCAAGAAGAGCACCTCCATCCTGAGCTACCACTTCCATGAGGTAGAATCTGGATTCCTCATAATCCAGTGATTGCAGAGTTGAGATTTCACCCAGGCTGGAATCAAGTTGGAAAGTCTCTGAAATCTTATCTTCTTCATTGCGAAAAGAGTATGTTAATTCCCCGTTTACTCCCTCATCTGGATCCGTGGCGGTTAGTGTAAGCAGCTGAGAGCCTACAGGTATGTTCTCTGGAACAGTCACTCTGTACTCAGATTGAGTGAAGAGAGGCTCATTATCATTTGCGTCGAGGACCACCACGTGTATGTGCATACTACTAGAGAGTATGGGGTCTCCACCATCTAAAGCTGTGAGAAGAAGGTCGTGGACAGCTACTTTCTCGCGGTCCAAGGGCCGTTCCAGTACCAGCTCCGGATATTTTTGTCCATCAGTTCCGCTTTTCTGCTCCAGAGAGAAGTGCATATTGGGGCTGAGCTTATAACTCTGGAGAGAGTTCATACTCACATCCGCGTCTCGAGCGAAAGGAAGTGCTAACCGAGTTCCCGTAGCCGCATTTTCATTAACTTTTACTTTTACTTCCTCATCCCGGAAACGTGGAAAGTTATCATTGATATCTATTATTTCTATTTCTACTCCATAAATTTTCATGTTATTCTCAAGCAAGATGTTAAAACTCACCACACACCGTGCACTCTGAGCACAGAGCTCCTCCCGGTCTATCCTGCCTGCGGTGACCAAACTGCCACTTCTCGGGTTCAGAGAAAAGAGCCGCGTCCTACCTCTGGAGACGATGCGGACGCCACGCTCCACCAGCTCCCGGGGCTCCAGACCCAGGTCCTTGGCGATGCTGCCCACGAAGGAGCCTTTGTCCAGCTCCTCCAGCACCGAGTAGCGGATCGGCCCGGCTCCAGCTCTCCATAACGTCTCCAGGAGCAGGAGGAGCAGAAGCGGCTCTATGCAGCCCCAACCTCTCAGTGTACCCGCCATTTCCTTCTCTCCGACCAGTTTCCTTAGTCCTAATTCCAGCCTGCTGTACCCTTATTTCTTTCAAGTCAAAGGAAACACATTACTTGACAGAAACGCGAGGCTTTTCCCCAAATTTCTCTGGTCTGTGTTTGTTTAGGGCGCAAGGAGCAGAGTCAGGTCGCCTTCAGCGGACAGCTTTTCCACTTTGGTGAACAGCGACGCTCAGAGTCCTATCCAGTTACTACACCAATTCTGTTTTTATTTCATAAATGTTTAATTATATTTTATTTCTAATAATTTTGCTGTATTCTTAACCTATTGACAAGTGACATTACTCATATCTAAGATTTAATTCTGAAATATCAAAGGACTTCCACAAACCTTGAGATCAATATAATTATTACATTTTTATTTCTTTAGAAAAGTTTTATTTAATGTGCCATTGAGTCTATGTCCTTTATTTACCTCTTACCTATACTGAGTCCATTAAATTAGGACATTAGAATTCTTAATTTTGTAGGCTTTAAAATTTCATCTTTTTATTAGGATACATTTATGAAAACGTGCCTACTATGGATAAGAATGTCCAGGAAACAAACCTAGCTCTCATCGCACCATTGCATAAAGGCCTACTGATTCAAGCAAATTGTATTAGATGTTGTAAACAGAGAAAATAAAGGGTCCATTTTGCTACTTGAGGTCTTTAAGAAAGTTCCCAGACTTTCACACTAAGAGTTTGGCAGCTTCACTATATCAGACTAAGAGTCTGAGTTGGGTTAACTACACATTATTTACATTTCCCTATTATCATGTCTAAATTGGAGTTAAGGCATTTTACAGTGACAGACTCTTGGGGAAGTCAGTGTAGTGACTGAAGAAAAGGGCTTTCGTTCGTCACCTAGGCAGAAAAACATGTCCAGATCCTTAGTGAGCAGGCAAGTGCCCTTCTATGTTGAGACGGATATTAAACGCTATCACCTTTACATGGTAGCAGGAAAAAAAGCCTCATGATTGAAAACAAAGGGACATTTCAGAGAGTCCACTGAGAAAAGCAATTTTTTCCCTAATGACACCTCCATAGGAAAAGAAACAACACAAAGAGATTTTATACCTATAATTAGAAAATTCAAAAAAGAAAGTTTTAGGTAAACAATGTGAGTATAATTTGCAAAATTTTTCTCATTGTACAATTTTTCACAAAAGCAGTTTGTTATATGCATAAGAGAGAACGATTTCTCCCACTTATTAAATACATTCTTTTTTTTTAATTTTTTTTTAATTTTTTTTCAATGTTTTTTATTTATTTTTGGGACAGAGAGAGACAGAGCATGAACGGGGGAGGGGCATAGAGAGAGGGAGACACAGAATCGGAAGCAGGCTCCAGGCTCTGAGCCATCAGCCCAGAGCCTGACGCAGGGCTCGAACTCACGGACCGCGAGATCGTGACCTGGCTGAAGTCGGACGCTTAACCGACTGCGCCACCCAGGCGCCCCAAATACATTCTTTTTAAAAGTTTATTTATTTATGAGAGAGGTAGAGCATGAGCAGGGAAATGCAGAGAAAGACAGAATTCCAAGAAGGCTCCACACTGACAGGGCTCAATCTCATGAATCATGAGATCATGACCTGAGCCAAAATCAAGAGTCAGACACTTAACCACTGAGCCACCCAGGCACCCCCATAAACACACTCTTAATAACAGGTACTACAGGCCTCAAATATTGCTTATCCTTTAAAAACAGATCTGAGGGGCGCCTGGGTGGCGCAGTCGGTTAAGCGTCCGACTTCAGCCAGGTCACGATCTCGCGGTCCGTGAGTTCGAGCCCCACGTCAGGCTCTGGGCTGATGGCTTGGAGCCTGGAGCCTGTTTCCGATTCTGTGTCTCCCTCTCTCTCTGCCCCTCCCCCGTTCATGCTCTGTCTCTCTCTGTCCCCAAAAAAATAAATAAACGTTGAAAAAAAAATTAAAAAAAAAAACAGATCTGAGATCTCAAGACATTAAGCTTGAAAAGATACTTAGAAGGGAGGTCTACAATTCAGTCCTACCCATGCCCTGCTGTTGACAAGCCATGACACTGGGTAAAATTTTCTTTTTGGTTCCCAGTTTTCCCAAACGAGGAACATGGAAAGCTCTCTTTACTCTGAAGTGCTATAATTCTAAGAGGAAGTAAAACTAAAATCTGAGTAATAAAGATCTGTAGGGTAAAAGGAATAGCTTAAGATCCCAGTAGTAATGAAATTTCAGAGGAAAGTAATATAAAGATGAAGCAGAAACTATTTCGTGTAGTAAAGACTTGTAATTATGGACAAATAAATCTCACACATCAGAGAGAAAACCTATGTTAAAATTCTGTTTAGATAAGATTAAGATAACTAAGGCAGAAAACTGCCTAAATTGAGCCCACAAGACAAAATATGAAATAGTAATTTCTACGCCAGTAAGGTGATTTGTTAACAAACATTGAAACCCAAAATGAAAACTAGCGAAGTAAATTAAAACTCACCTTTAGAATAGTATCTGATGCAAATGGGACCCCAGCGCCTTCATGATTTGTATTTGGTAACCAAGCGGCATCTTCACAGAGGAGATCCTGAGAGGGAGTCACTTCCGGGGTGACATTAAGAAAATTAAACTCTGTCTTAGCTAACTGTGAAGCAACGCACAGATTGTAGGAATAAGGCAAAGTCCCTTCTCTGTAATC